AAACGTACCCTGTGGATAAGAGACTTTTTACGTTGAACGCAATTAAGCGGCATTTATTGCCCATACTGATTAACCCTTTCCCTGCCAGGGACGTACGACATACGGAGGAAAAAAAGTGTTCCCGGCTGGCCAGGTCCGTATGCCGTACTGGGGAGAAGCCTCACTACAGAGGCTTCTCCCTATTCATCCCAACAGTAAAAGAAATAAATAAAAAAATAAAATAAAGAGTAAAAAAATAAAAAAAACACACAACCCCTCCCTCCCCCCCCACACACATAACATAAACGTGCACCATATTGTGGTGTACGCCATGCACATGCGCTGCAGTGCGTTGTTAGAATGCATCGCAGTGCATAGTTTTTTACATTTTTTTTCTTTAAAAAAAAACATTAACTGTGGCAGCGCATGGCAAAGCTTTGTGACGTATTGCCATGCATTGTGATACCTTGTGTTGCAATTAAATATATGCCTGTAACATTTTATCACAACACAAACACCAACACGGCGTAAAAACAATTTTTTACATAAGTCGTTTATTTACAGTTTTGAGTACCTTCATTTTTTTACCTTTTCGCAAAAAGGCACAACTTCAAATTTGCAAATATTTTTTATTAACTCAATACAGTTTTATCTTTTAGATTTAGTCAGAAAATATTTTTTTTGTGCGCTGATACTGATTTTAGTGTGCTTATTAATTGAATTGTGTATTTTTATCGGTTTAATATTAATTTGAGAAACATTTGCGCAATTATCGCAGGTAGCACCATCTTTTTATTCTACCGGGCCTGCGCTTTCAGAAAATATATGGTTTGGGGGGTCTTTTACAAACGCTAGCAACGCAGAAATTGAAAATCAAATCAATGGGGAAAATTGCAAAAATGGCGTGGCCAGCTGAGTTGCAAAATGTTCCGGAGGGCTTGGCAGCGAAAGGGTTAATGCTCTACGTTATTACGGCCACTGGCATCAATTAGGGTGTTTGTATTTTACTCCCTCTTTCTCTTTAGATTCCATTGCAATACAGTGCCAAAGAAAATCCAGCAGGATGAAAACATGCTATTGTGTGGCTCTCTGAGACTATCAGGGGGGCTTTACTTGAGGCCCTCTATACATTTTTTCAGCTGAGAGTATGGAATTATTCATGAACTGCTTACATACTTTTCTCAGTGAAAAATATATACACGTGCACAGGTAATCTTTGTAAAAGACCCCCCCCCCCCCAAAGGTTGAACTCTATGGACCTGTGTCTTTGTTGGGTTCTGGTATCAGAATAATTAGGGCCTCCCTCTTAGAGTCTGGCATGCAGAGGTTTCAAAGGCCGCAATGTACAAATCTAAGAGCTTTGCAACAAGGGTTTTAGCGTATTTAGCAAAAATATTTTAAAGGGTAGGTCATCAGTGCCAGGAGCCTTAGCATGGGGGAATAAACAAAAAGCATTTTTAATTTCCAGGGACATAAGAGGTCCTCTCCCATGTTTTAACACCCTCTGGCAGGGGGAAAAAAAGTTTGTTTTTAGTATTGATAAGCTGAATATCATTGGCTGCACAAGAGCGAAATCTAACAGTGTTCACAGTTTCAGTAGAGAGCTACTAATTAAGCTAGGCTAAAGCCTCTCGGTGCACCCCCTCCGCCCTCAGTACAGCCTACGCAGATTCTCGTTTGATCTTATTAATAAGTCAGGTCAACACTAATTGTGCATGACCATTAAATGCTTCCCACATTATTGGGGTATTTGCCGTGGGTGAGGGGGAGGCAAAGAAAAAGGCTTACTCCTCCGAAAGTGGTGGCACTGGGATAAGTCTAACCCAAAAATGATTTAGCTTCCATTGTGGATGGGTGTGTATGGGGGGGGGGGAAGGACCATCTTGGAGATGCAGAAGACGTGTATCTAAACCTCTGTTTTTAACCTTAGCGGTGAGACGTTTTTTTGCATGCTGGCTGGCGAGTGTGCTGGGAAAACATTTTGCTGTTTGTACTGTATTAGGGAAGGCCCTTCCATGTGCACCTTGCTGTAAAGCTGGTAACACATTGATGAGTGCGTTTGCCATTTGTTTTCCCCAACCAGATAGCTTGCATCCACGAGTATGCAGACATAAAAGCAATACCATCTTGTATTATAGTCATAGCAAAAAAGAGGAGGAATATTGAATGCCAATATCAGTACAGGTTGACCACCCGCGCCTCCAGGATTTCACATCCTGTACTTTTGGGAAATAGGATGGAGAAAACACTCTAAGCCGAGGTGTAAGTAGAGTGGTAAGACGCATTTAACCAAGGACACCTAGGATTATTAGGGTGGGCAGGTGTCATGTGTGTTTCCAGTAATACAATAATATCAGATTGTTGCTGTCTTAAGAACTTTAGGACTGCATGGCGTTTAACCTTGTTATGGAGTCCCCTTACATTTCAAGATATCAATTTAAGGGTAGACATGGGGCAGTATAGAGTAGGTGGTATCAACAAAAAGGACGTCTGCGAGCGTACCAGCACAACCACCATATCCCTGAAAGGAAACAATAGAAATCCAACATGCATGAGTAAAACAGGGCAGACATACTTCCAAGATGAACAACAATAACCAAAGTGTCCCAACCCACCCCTCCTCTACACAGACCCCAACAGCTGTGAGCATGAAGACCCGAAAAACAAAGAAAAGCAACAACAAATGGGATAGCACTAAGGAAAGGCTCAGACAGAGGCATCCACCACTGCTGCCCTCCAAAATATAGCAGGTATTTGAACACAGTGCAAGGCAAAAAAAGGAAAAGAAAGGGCAAAAAAAAAAAAAAGGAACAAACCCCTTGCTGATGGAACGAAGTTCACTGGTCTCATACAATTAATTAATGGCCAGGGCCTGAGTATCTAGGCACCACACCCCTGAAAACAATGATAATTACAGAAAGAAAAAGATGGGGTTTTGAAGGTACCACAAGACAATTCCAAGGCAATTAAAGATAAAAAAAAATATTTTTTTATTAAATAGAGTTTAAAAATGTTTTGATATAACATTTTATACATGAAAACCTCCAAACAGATATCTGACTGTGCAGCCCTGGGGAGGCTGTGTTGGATGCCGCTGGCCCAGGAAGGTGTGGAATATTGGGACCCTTTCTAGTGATCTCTGGCCATGCTGGAGTCTTATCTAGTGAAAGTAGCAGTCTTGGGTTCTTTTTGACTTTGTGACTCCCACCACCTGCCTGTGAGGCGGGGGCCCTCATTCCTCTCTTCCCCTGATTTTGGGTTCTGCCCCAATTGGTCCGTTCAGACAGGGCCGGCCTTAGGGGTGTGCGAGCTGTGCGGCCGCACAGGGTGCCATGGTAACAAGGGCGCCGTGCGGCTGACACAGCTCATCCTGGGGGTGGCTTCTCTCCCCCTCACCGCTGGCCATCCGATATGACAGTGCTCCCTCGTCCGCCCCCCACTTCAGGGGGGGGCGCAGGAGGGAGCGCTGCCTGCTGTCAGGATGGCCGAGCGGTGAGGGGGAGAGAACCCGCGCCCGCAGCTGTCAGGGTGGCCGAGCGGGGAGGAGATCGGAGCCGCTGTCATCCTGTCAGTTTCAGTGCATGGCAGTGTCATCCTGTGCATGGCAGAGCGGGGGATCAGTAAATATCATTGAAATTTACCGGTCCTCCGTGTGAGAAGGACAAACACTGGAACGATCGTCTGATCACTCCAGTGATTTACATTACAGCCTGTTCATTCAAGATTTCCTCAATGGGGAGAAGCAGTCAGTACAGGGGCTCCTCCCCATTCAGAAACAGCTGATAGTAAATATGTGAATGGGAAGCCTCTGTACTGAGTGCTTCCCATTCATTGAGTGCTGAGGCTGCTGAAAAAGAAATTGAGGATTTGGTGTCCTCAATGTCTTTTCTATTTAAACATGGCATGTTAAACACGATCCATGGAAATTACACAGTGTCAGTCAATATATTGTACACTGTATATACACTGTGTAATTTCCATGGATCCTGTTTAACATGCCACATGACTAGGTGGACCAATGGCGTTAGATCTCTGCACTACGCTGGAACCTGTATTCATGCAAAGCCTCGGCCCTCCAGTTCATTATGCGCTTGCGCGAGTGAGCAGAGGGGCGGTACTACCACACAGCTATTAACTGACCAGTTGTTTACCTAATTCAAAACTGACAGGGCGGGAAACATGTACTTGTTATGCAATTGGGGGCGGGATTGGCTGTGTTTTTAAAGGTCACAGATGTGTATATATGTAGGTTTGGGTTGCACAGTGTGTTATTCTGAGCCTGATGACGGGGACCCAACGTGGCCCCGAAAGTACTTGTGATTTTGAATGACCGTTGTCATTAAAATATATTGAATCTACTTTTGGAGTGCTGGTGACATCTTTTGGAATTACTACTTGACTACACGGTGCCTCCGTGGTCGCTACAAGCACCCTATTACAGACATCATCTCCTAGGAGATACAGTAAGGAGTGCAGGAAGATACACACAATTTTGGACCTGAAGGGAGGCTGCTGGAGGCTTCACCTCAGTACATGGAGGTAGCATCCCTGCACCCCCTCCCCCCCCAAGAGAGGAAGAGCGCACCTGAATCAGATCAGATGTGCACTGCAAGTCCCTCTGTTTTCTGCATTACACTGCTGACCTCTGCGTTAGATTACTGACCTCTGTGTCATACTGCTGGCCTCTGTACTTTGCATCGCACCACTGGCCTCTGTACTCTGTGTCATACCGCTGGTCTCTGTACTGTGCGTCATAATGCTGGTCTCTGTACTGAGCGTCACACCGCTGGTCTCTGTACTCGGCGTTGTTACCGATCTCTGTAATCTGCGTCACACCTGACGGAGTTACGGCCGGGGCAGGGTAGGGGTTAGGTGGGGGCAACTTGTGGCGCGTAACTCTTAAGGCCTGGCTAGTAACTCAGGGCTTGACATTTTGAGCCCTGATATAAGGGACACAATAGTATGGTGGTGCTACAGTTATTGAACTATTTTGATATTACATAATTGCATCATTGCTGTACCTTCTTTAGAGCAAAGGATGCTGTCTGACCTCCTCGTACTTCTTTGACGGGCATGCGTTTGCGATGTATGGACTTCACTGCAATTGAAGTAAAGTTGCCAAGAGGGTCAGGTCCTAATAGCAGTAGATCATTTAGCTTAATCAGTCCTCTTAATGTTGTTCCTGAAACCACTGTGCCAACACCCTGCGACAAACAAACAAAAACAAAAAAACCCATGAATGTCCAATGATAAAAAATAAAAATAAAGGATACAAAGTTTGTACACTATAGCCTCTTGTTTTTGCACTTGTACTTTTTTTTTTTAAACTTACTGGTACTGAGTACGTATCATCAATCTGGAACTCTGCAGGTTCTTCTTCCCTTGAGCTGCATCGCGGAGACAGCAAATTAAGGAACATTTTGAGCAGATCCAAGTTTTCCCCCGTTACATTAGAGATTTGAAAAATCGGACACATCCTAAAAAGCCCAAAACATTTTTTTTAGTTTTTACCAACACAATATTATGGTAAAAGACAGAATTTTTGTCTTACCTGTAAAATCCTTTTCTTGGACTACACTACAGGACAGTATTCAGGAACATAGAGTTATGCTGCTGCCTTCAGGACATTGGACACTGGCAAAACAAAAAACTGTAATGACAGCCCAGAAATAACACTACTAGCAAGCCTCAGTTTTTTCAGTATCTAGCACCGATATTTTTTTACCGGTACTCACCTATTCATGATTAGCCGGGAGGCGTGTAATGACTCACCACCTAGCTTCCCGATTAGGCGGGAAGCAGTCTCCATGCTTGCTCGCCACCAGGTGACGAGGAAGCATGGAGCCGGCTTCCTGGCCAATCAGAAACCCGGGGGGAGGTAATAACACACTGCCTGGCTTCCTGATTGGCCAGCTTCTCGACCAATCAGGAAGCGGGGTAGTGAGTCATTACACGCTGCCCGGCTTCCTGATTTCCCAGGAAGCCAGCTCCATGCTCCCTGGTGAGTCTAACGACTCACCATCGTGCTTCCTGATACCGGAAGTTCTGTTATCGGGATAGGCATCTAGAGCATTTGGGTTAATACAAATATTAGGTATTGGCACCGATATCGATACTAGTATCGGTGCATCCTGAGTAAAACGGCTAACAGGCCCACCGAAAAAAAAAAGACAACTAGTGAAGAGAGGAGGCTCAACAGAGCTGCCTAGAAGAGCTTTACAACCAAAACCATCAGCCGCAGAGGCCTCAACATCCATCTGCTAAAAACTGATGTGTGAACCGAAGACCAGGTGGCAGCCTTGCAAACTTAAGAAACCTGATGCTGAAAAGCCCAAAAAGTGCCAACTGATGTGGATAAGTGGGAAGGCTAATGTATTAGCCTGTATTTGTGGGAGGGGTTCGCGCACCCAGAGCCCTTAAAAGAGGGCAGGCCCACGGCAACAGGCACGTACGGTGTTCGGCAGAACACTTCCGGCATCATTATCCTGCAGTCAGCGGCGATACGTCACTTCCGGTTTCGTCACTTCCGGGTCGCAGTGTAAGCTACCGCTGGTATGGCTGGGCCGTTTGTTCCTCTGGGCCGACGAGGCGCCCCGTTTTCTTGCCGCAACTTCAGCATGCTCTTTTTTTGTCCAGGGACGCAGACACCAGCATGCGGGAGTCTTCGGCCAACGAGAGCATACAGGCAGTTGGGAGGCAGCAGATAACTGCTGATTTGGGCCATGGTCGGGCCAGGGAGTAGGGGGGCACGTACGCCCAGGCTGGGTCATCGACATTTCAATAGGGGGGAGGGTTCGTTAGGTGGGACGTCAGTGGGCAGTCCTCTGTCACATTACCATTGAGCATATTTGCGGAGGCTGACAGAGGGTGTATAGAGAGAGACCCCCTTCTGTATGCCACATAGACTTTCCACATAGGCATCAAGCATGGTAACGCATCCCCACATAAGAAGGTATTCCCTTCAAAAAGCATGAGTCTGTCTTGTACCCATACAATAGCTGCCTCCTGGGAATCATACTGGCTGGGACCCTGGGAGCTCAACAGATGGAAGTGTACTGAGGAGGGGTGGGGGGGGGGCAGGCGCCATTACACGACCGGTACGTTCAGGGGCACACACGCAGATGTCGGGGGTGTCACAGCAGACATATAGGTCGTGGGGAGGATGGTGTCATGGGGGTGGTGGGCAGCAGTCAAGACATAGTGGCGCTGGTTGCAGGCACAGGCAGCTGGGCATGCGTTCCATCTTCACTTTGCATGTTCATTGGTACCACGAATTCTGGTGCCGCATGGTATAGGGTGTACCTCAGGAGCAGTCATACTCGGCTCCTGACAGCACATTAAGGCATGCATACGGCCAGCACTATTCAGGCTGTCTGGCTCAGGAGGGGTTCACTCAGGTACAGCCAGAAGCGCTAGTCACATGGTGCAGGTACCCGGCTCATGAGTGTTGCAAGGCATATGTACAAACATGTCATTTTGCACACTTTTCGATGCATTGCTGCAAACATACGTACTGCACACAAATCACAGGTCCTGGTATTTTCGGAGGTGATGAGGTCAATAGTAATGTCACGTTAGTTCCTCAGCCTCACTCATACGTCATACGCATTGACACATACTGACATTAGGGGGGTCATTGGACGAACCATTGTCAGCCAGGACTCTGTCCCCATTGATTTGCTCGCCGGAGCACCCTTGTACCCAATACAGGACTGGTGGGTTCAGTTGCTTAGCTTTGTTGATTTATGTTATGCTGCAGGCACAACGGTGTCCATAGGTTGTTTATCCTCTGTCGGTTGGTTATAGGCACTGTTTTAATCTCTCTCTCTTACTTTCGTTTCTTCTCTCCCCTTTTTCTTTTTTCTCGTCATATTGTTTTTCAGTGCATATCGCTAGTCATGTCCCACGTATCAGAGAGTGAGGATTTGGCATTTATACCGGCTACGCCATCCAGAGGGTCCGAGCTGGGGAGTGCCCAGTCGATCAGGGCATGGACTATTCCCAAACTCATCATTGAGTTGCTGAAGAGAGGCATTCCTTTTGCGGCCTCCGCCAGGAAGGCGGAACTATTTAAATTACTGTTTCCCCCAGCGGCGGCTCAGGTCAGGTGTCGTTACAGACAGTAGTTACGTTTTTGACCAACATTCATGCTTCACTACATGACATCACTACATCATTGCATGACCTACAACACAGGACAGGAACCTGCGGTTCCTTCTGCAGCAGTACAGGTCGGGACCGGCACCCCCACGGTTGTCCCAGGGACTTCTACTGTACTGATGTCTTCTGATGCAGGTATGGTGGCAAGTGTCCCTACTCCGGCCCACTTTGTTCCGGCGAATTTAGGGAGGGACATATTGGAGGGGAAGGATGTGAACCTGGCATCACTCCTGATAGCGGCCCATGACGTGACTGACCATAAGGCATTTGCTTGTGGAGAGGTGTCTGTTATCCTTAAAGCCAGAGACCCCAGGTTGAACCCGAAACTGACCATACCCGAGTTCGTGCTAGCATTCGGGGGTTTTCCAAGATGTGGTATGCTCAGTGACACCCAATCACAGGGAGGAGCTGGACGCATACATTCATATATTTGTTGATCTAGGGTGCCCTACTCCAGGGGTGGCGGAGGCGACCAACTTGCACAAACCAGCAGGTTTGCTACCTAGCCAGGCCGGTACAGTGCCCACGCAGTTCGATAAGTTGGGTAGGCCCATACAGTGCCTGGGCAAGGCGCAGATATGCAACAATTATAAGTCGTGTAATTATCCGCATTGCCGGTTGCTGCATATCTGCTCCTTGTGCTTCAGGGCACATCCTAAGGTTACTTGCAGGGTGAGAAACATACAAACATCTTGACTAGGCCGGGTGAACTTAGAGGCTTTGACTGTTTTTTTGCAGGATCATCCTGACCCTTCCCTGTTAACGTTTCTGACGGAGGGTTTCACTGCAGGCTTTCACACGGGTTTGATTTACTTACCTCAGGCATCTCACGAGTGTAGGAATTTGAGATCAGCTTTGGCCGACCCAGACATGGTTGGCTCTCTGTTACAGGTGGAGTTGGGCAAGGGTTTCATCATAGGCCCTTTCGCTGAGCCCCCATTCTCCATGTGGAGAATCAATCCTATAGGATTGGTATGTGGTACATTCTCTAATAAACACCGTTTGATATATGACTTGTCAGCCCCTCATTCGGTCCACACTCCCAGCTTGAATGCGCTGATACCGTCCAAAGAATTTTCTCTCATATACTCCTCAGTGGATCAGGCGGTACAGTATATTTTGGAGGCAGGCAGGGACTAATGTTATCCAAGGCAGACATTTCCAATGCTTTCAAGCTTTTGCCTATATGTATTATTTCGCCACCAAGTTGACTTTTGGCTCCAAGAGTAGCCCATGGCTATTTGACGTGTTTGCTCGAGCTCTACATTGGGTGCTTGAACAGCGGGTTCATTGTCAAAAAGTTTAACATTATCTAGACGACTCACTACTCATCGAGTCTCCCGACAGGGTGCCACAGGATCTTGCCAGGCTGTTGGAAACATTTGAGGTTCTCAACGTGCCAGTCGCTCCCCACAAGGTAGAAGGTCCCCTCAGAGTCATAACCTTTTTGGGAGTTATTTTAGATACAGGGGCCATGCAAGCTAGTCTGCCGCCGGACAAGCTGACCAGGATCAGGGACACCTTGCATTCCCTTGTCGTGTCCCTACGGCTCCTGAGCAGGAGTCATTGATTCACATCGACGAGGCAGGAAGGGCGGACTTGGTCATGTGGGATGAGTTTTTGCAGCACTGGAACGGAATCTCCCTGTTTGTTCCGCAAGCTTCACATACGTCGCCGCATGTAGTTACGGATGCAGCGGCATCTTCAGGCTTTGCAGCCATTTTTGGCCATCATTGGTTCGCTAGCCGCTGGCCGACGGAAGTGAGAGGCATTCCAGCATTCTTTCAGACTTCCTCGTTGTTCGAGATCTATCCCATTGTAGCGGCAGCTAAAGCATGGACTGCCCATCATGGTCTGGCCAAACAGTCACATTCCACACAGACAATTTAGCCACGGCAGAGATCATCAATAAGGGTAGATCCAAATCCCTGGTCATCATGTCATTTCTCCGCAGGTTAACTTGGCTTTCGCTACGGCATAATTTTAATATCATCTGTTATTTTATTCCCGGTGTGCATAACCTGGCTGCTGATGCTTTGTCTCGGTTGAAATTGCAGGTGTTTTTCCAACAGAGACCAGATGCGGATGTTGTGTCCACACCTGTGCCTGCTTTTCGCTACTTAGTTCTGGACTAGAGATTCATCAGCGTAACGCGGCCACGCTTATCAACAAGTCTCTGTCCAGCAATACAGGCAAGGCATACAAAGTAGCCTGGACGACGTTTAATTCCTTCCGGGCCAAACACGGTACCTCTTATCCCTGTGACATCTCGTACCTTTTGGCCTTCATATCTTACTGTCATACCAACTTGAAACTA